ACGATCACAATGATGAAGGTGGGTGTACTGTTGGGACTACCGTGTTTCAAGGCATTCCTTGCCCTCCAAGATTGGTAGACAGTATAGAAAAAAGGCGTCCCAAGCTGGGGTTGGTTCTAGCCATCTCAACAAGAATCATCATTAGCTCCCGAAAGGAATTGTTATTTGGGAAGACAAAACCCCACCTGGCCAACACGTTAAGAACCTAAACCAATTTGGAGCAACCAACCACACAATGCTCAATGGTTTCCCTGTCGTTACACCCCCATGGACAAAGCTCATAATCAGCTAAATTACGACGACATAGCCAAACATTGGTAGGGAGAGCGTCCCGTAGGAGTTTCCATCAAAAGAAATATTCTCGGGGATGGAGTTTGAATCTCTTAAGCCAGATATAAGTAATATTTTCAATGTATATATATGCACGCAATATTTTCACACAACTTTAAGAAGTTTAATTATCTTTATCATTATGAGTTTTCTAGTACATAATAATTTGGCAGCATTCGTGAAAAACACTCCCACCCTCATTGATCAATCACTATGACATCCAATGATAGTCTACACATAGGGACATCAATACTCCATATCTAAACATTCATATCCTTGGTAACATCTTAAAAGAAACCAATGGCACCTTCACTAGGAGAAATTTAAGGTTGGGTTGACCTTGAATATAACCTAGAAAGGATGTTCACATTAATGTCCCATGTGTGCTTGTAGTTGAACAAATTCTTCCCCTATCATCCTCAAGCATATACACCACTTCACCCAAATAATTTCAAAAATATCGAAGTGGATGTTCCCTAAAAATGGAAACTATACATGACAAAGTTAGCTTTGGATCCTATCTAAACTGACGTTAGAAGGAGATGTCCACATTGATGCTCAATATGTGGATGCATTAAAGATCTTGGTAGAGCTACCAATTTTTGAAAATTTATTTTATATAGAAGAAATTCCACAAGAAACTTCTGAGAAAATCACATCTTTATGCATAATCCTCAGTCGGACTCATAATCCTAAGCAGTCACAATATGACCTCAAAAGGGAAAAAACAACCTAAATAAAAATCAACTTTTACCACTAATTTGAAAAATATAAGCTGACTTCCATCCCTAAGCAAGGTTCAATTAGCTTAAGATGGAATCAAACCGATTTCATCTTCCATATGTGAAATTTATCAAGTCAAACTCTAATGATAACCAAGGATGAGTAAAAAAACATTTAGCTTCTTCCATTATGGCTTAAAATTATCGAATGACATTCTAATGAATTACCTAAGTCAAAAATCCTTGGTGGATTCCTCTCTACCTCTTCTAGCACGAGTTAAAGTGTATGAGTTATCTGTTGACGAATAACCTAATATAAATAAAAAATTTCATATATTTCCCTCTACTTTATCTACCATTGACCATAACCATTGGGGAGCTTGTCTAATGGTTGACAAGCTTCTTTGAGATACAACTTAAAACATCTAAAAGACCCTAGAGGGTAAGCTAATTTGAAAGCCCTGACAAGCACATAGTGTTGGATAGGGTCCCACTAGAAAGTTCTTACGAGGGCTTATCTTATAAAATGAAGGTAAACAAAGGTTACCCAACTCTATCGATTGAAGGATTAGATCCACTCTATATCTTTTGAGGGGCAATATTCTCTCACTCTTGGCTTCAAGGTCTAATCTAACAAATTGAATTTTTGCCATTATAGTGAAACCTAGAAGTTTTATATAACTCTGAAGGATACCTAAAGGGCTCGTATAAAAGTCAATTCCCCAAACATCCTATTCACTAGTATTCAAGTGAAGGTGTTCATCACGCTGGTTTTTGTCTTGGGTTTGAAATAACTGTGAAGGATAAAAAAATAAAAACTTTAGAGGACTACGATAACAAAAAGATCATGAAGTCATATTTCCAATGATATTAGGCATGTTAAAAAAACTCAAAAATTTCTACAAAAATCGTATAATGTGGGAATTCCTTACCAGTTGACATTAAGGAAAAAATTTGGAATTTAAAAAAAAAAACATGAAAAAATTTGGTGGAATCTCATGGATGTAGAGGAACATCTCCAATAACTTTTGGCAATTTAAAAAAAGTCTACGAGCCACAATGACTTTTTGAAGTTATAAAATAGTGAATAATAGTGTTGGATCTTAACTTGCTTGTGGATGACACCAGTTCTTACTAATAGTCAAACTTTTAGAGAGTAACCCGAAACCTGTGTAAAAATGGAGAGAAAGGGATACGCTAGGAAAAGCTAGAGAGAAGCTGTAATAAAAGTACTTAGAAGCCTGGTTTATAGATCAGCAAAAAGATCCACAAGTACAAGAGATTCAAAAGATCTAAAAGACACAAAATGCTCTTTGTCGTCCTTTATTTATAAGGTTTTTAGGGCTACAGAAAAAGTTGTACATATAAAAAAATAAAACAATATAGAGCTATACAAATTACCCTAGATATGTGCTTCCTTTTGATTGGATGAGAGAGAGGTGGGCTATAGAGCTTTGATGATCTATCTCTGGGCGAACTCGATAATGTCAACGAGTTTAGCAGTGTCGAATGCATATGGGCGAGTTTGAGAGAGTTTTGAGCAAATGGTGCTTGATGTCAGAATAATATATGAGAGTTGTTGGTGATCTTTGAACATTGGATCGCCTAGAGGTGAAGGTGAGTGAGTTGAGACTGCGGAGAAGATGAACCCAACAATCAGTTGGTCACGGTAGGGTTAAACTAAGGATTCTTTGAGCAAACGCTTTCCTATAGTGGACTTAAATTTATGAGAGATGAAAGCATTTGCCCTGGGCGAGGGTGAGTTTCTGTGATAGATGCCTCCCTTCTGTGAGGCCAGTGGAAAGTTAATTAATTGGTGAGATCCTCCATTGCTCTTGGGACGAGCAACCTTCCTTTATAGGCAGGGGCAAGTGGGGTCTGATGTTCTTCGACAAATTCTTTTGTGGGGTCCACTGGATGCCTATCTCCTCTTGTAATCTGACAACTATCTGCTAGATACCTCTGAAGGCATATGCGAATATACAGATAGATCTTCCAAAGTTTCAGTTTGAAGAAGTTTTTCCCTAACCCAACAACACAATTTGAAAATGAAGAACCTCATAGACGGCTATCGAGATGTTTGCAGTAAGAAAAAGAAATCTGAATTTTTCAAATCCAGATCTAACCGTGAAAAATCATTTAAGATAGCAACATCATGGTTACAGTCGAGAAATCCAAGAATAAAAAAAATCTACCAAAAAGCAAATCAATAGAATTTCAGACCGAAAATTTTCGAAGTAAGAGAACACTTAATGGAAAATCTATGGTGAAAAAAATTGATCGTGAAGGTAAAAAAACTTAGCAAAAATAGCAAGAAATTGACCAAGTACTGCCAAAATCCGGATACCTGACAAATTACCGGTCTTCTTCGTCGTCGTTTTTTCTTCTCAGTCTACATATCACCCATTTGCTGTTGCATCTCTATCAAGGTCTCTCTGGGCAACGTATTTTGGAAGATCAACTCCATTATGGTAGAAGGGAGAAGCTACAAAATAAGGCCATCAAACAAAACCATACTCGGTACCTCAGTTCAAATTCATCCAGGCGAAGATCACCAACATCTCATTCATAATAGGACCAAATAATCGAGGCAGAGTAATGAAATCCGCTCAATGTTACACCTTTCAAGGGAAGGTTTCAAAGATTTTTATGGGGAAAGATCGAGTCTCAACAACAACAACAACAACATCAAGCCTTTATCCCACTACGTGGGGTCGGCTACATGAATCCTTTTTCTCCATTGTGTCCTATTAAAAGCCAAATTCTCGTTTAAATCTAATAAAGAAAGGTCATTCCTAATATTTTCTAACCAAGTCTTTTTAGGTCTACCCCTACCTTTCTTAACACAAGTCAAATCTAATACCTCTACTCTCCTAACCGGGTCGTCGCAAGGCCGCCGTTTTATGTGACCAAACCATCTAAGGCCACTCTCTCTAATCTTATCTTCTACTGAAGCTACTCCAACCTTTTCACGTATACGCAAATTATTTACATAATTTCATATCATTACAAGAAAAAGGGTGAATTGGATGAACTTTAAAATGATTTAAATAGAATAAAAATATTAATTTTGATTTTATAGAAAATAAAGGTATGTTGAAATGATAATTAAGAAATGCAACCAAACATAAGTGCTATGGAAAAAACTAAAAGAGAAACAACATGCACGTTATTTTTAAGTGGTTAGCCCCCTAATATCATCTCTAAATGAGATTGATTCTCTATCTATAAGGTTTTGACACCGTTGGAATTTTATACGGATTGAATATATGGTCAAAATATTAAAAAGTGCACATGAATCACCATCTTGGATGGTGCTTGGTAGAAGTTTTCTAGCAAGGCACATGAAAAAAATATTACTTGTGGTGTTCGGACGCGTCTGAAGGTCAATTCAAATGCGTCATGTCATCCAATACACAATGTATTGAATGACATGACGCATTCGGATTGGCCTCCGGACCGCACGTAATAATCTCTCAGGCAGACAAGGTTGCTCATCTATAATTGAAGTCGCAAGTCCTCTAAATGTATTCTTTATCTTTTTGATGAAGTTGACAGTCTTGGCTGAACATTTGCAAGTAGTTTTTGACCTTGAGCGGGGGATGCTTGAGCTAGTGTGGCTTGGCCCTAAGATTGTGTGGTACACCTTATGACTGGGTGAGTATCTTCCAAGCTTAGGCGAGTTGGTCTAGTTAAACCATTGGCTTAGTGTGTTCTAGTGAGTTCAATTTGATACGCGAATCTAATACAATATGAGCTAGTTCATTATGACATTTGACAAGCTCACTTTTCTTTTCTGGTCCCATCGACTCGCCTTGAGCTGACCCAAGTCAAGGTGAATTGGGTCTTTGAGCTATTTTGATATACAATCAAGTCACTAAAAAATTTATATTTATTTATGAAACACTTAATCAAAAATTATAGTAATATAAGAATATCAAATAATTGTCCTAGATAAAGTTCGTGCAAGCGGGTGGGCAAGTGTGCCGCGCCTCCGAAATCCCTCGCCATGGCAGGCTCTTCCACTCTCTCGTCCGCGCTCTTTCTCCTTCCTCCCTTTAACTCTAACGTCTCCTCCAAATCGAAGCCCTCACTCTCCTTTGCTGCTTACTCCTCGAAGCCGCTGACCTCGCTTTATTCCCGTTCCTCGTCATTCATGGTCTTGGCCGCGCCGGAGCTCGTGGACTCACCGGAAACCTTATCCGGATCTGAAGGTCTCGCAGGCTTGGAGGTTTGTAGTCTGTGCTGTGTTTATTATCTCTTTGCGGCGGGGAGTTTGCTAACTAATTGCTTATTGATTGTTCTTCTCTTCAAGACCGAGGGATCCGAGCCTTCTTCTCTGGCTTTTGAGAGTGATGCTGATAAGGTACTGCAATTTCTTTTCTGGCATATAGTGAAATGAGCGTGTTCTATTTCATTTGATGGTTAATGATGCTACTCTTTCTGTTGATCTATACAAAATTTGGCCCTGCTGATCTTTAATTTAGTGACTTGTAATGCCGATGTTTGGTGATTGGTGGGGCTGCGAGTGTATTATCCTTTTTCAATTTGTGGGCAAATTGAGATCAGTCTTTTTGGTGTAAAGTCGACTTCTTCAAACTCTACTGTCAAAGCTTAAAATTTTCGTTCCCCATTAATGTCTTAATAAGACATGAATTTAGAAAATAAAAAAAGAGCCTTGAATTTGTTCATTGGATTACAAAAAATTTGTTTGGAACTTATTATTGAATATCATGAAGAGCTATTGGAAACACAGAGAGAAATAAAGATAATAGAAGTAGAAGCTGAACAGAGGTTTTCTAAATTGAAATCATTAACCTTTACAGAGTATAATAGTATGCTTATATAGGAAAACAAAGTACAGTTTGTTAGGCAGCACATGCTGCCATCTGTGTATGACTGCTGTTTATAACATAGCACATGGGTGGTAATTGCCTGAGGTGGAGAATGGCTTCT